ATCATACTTTGAAAATGCCAATTGAAAGCGAATGCAAACAGTTGGTACCATTTAAACATTAACCACATAATAACATATTTTTTCATGTGTTATTCCTCTTTGCAAATAAATTTAACTCAATGTAATTATCATATACCTGGTGCGTTGATAGCTGCAAGGAATTGTGGAAACCACAGGTCTATGTCTTCTCTGGCATCAATCCATGTAAAGAATTCTAAATCTTCTGGAATTTCACAATCCTCTCTCTTAACAGGAATAAGTATATGTTTGTGTTCACTGAGAGACATATGCAGAGAATAATGAACTTCAATTTTGCAATACAAACTTTCGTTGTATTCTTTTGAAAAAACAAGCACGGTTTTAACGGAACGTTTAATGTATTCTTTAATGTTTTGAATAATTTCTTTCCCCGGGAGAAAATCAAGTTCATGATCACAGCATTTAAATCCTCTGCTTTGTAATTCCGTTATTACATTTCTAGTCCATTTCCGATCTTCCTCGGTATTTCTATATGAGAAAAACACATGATAGTCCTTTCCCTCCGATAGAGGTGGTCCTTCAGGGAGAGGTCGAGGTCGTTGCTGATTACAGGCAATCCCAGAAGAAGCCGTACTTCTGTACGCCATTTTCAACAACTACATAGGAAAGCATAGTAAACGATTAAAAATCAAACTTGATATACATATTCATAATCGATTCTTCAATATTCACCAATCGGGTTTGGTTTATTGAAGCATTTATTGAATCAAAAGTTATTTCTTAAAATAAAGAAAACAGTATTTTCCACATAGAATAATTGCAACCTTCAGATTGTGCCAAATTCTCGTATTTTGTAAGAATTATTCAGGATTTTTTGAAAAAAATTAAATAAAAGTTTGAAATAAATTACCAAAAGATAGCTTTTATTTTAATAAAGAGAAAAATAAATTGGTCCAGTACTCGTGTTGCTTTCTACACCAAAAAATACAATTTGTTACTGTACAAAAAAAACAAACCAACAAAAAAACGGGTATAAAACATTTTTAAGGCATTATTGCGATTGTTTTGCTTCATTTCGAAATGTGGGTTGATATTTAAAAAATCGAAACCTTATTCAAGACTCTTAATTTGATTTACAATTGACTTTTTGTTTTTTGTGTTTCCCTCTGTAATTCATCTCTATCTGTTCGTCTTTAATTTTCCATTCAAAGAGAATACTGAACAACTCCTATCGAAAGCGTAATTCCATGAAAATAGTTCCCTCTTTATTTTACCTTTCGGAAAAGATATTTTCAAGCAATTATCGAAAATTTTCAGGGTCAGTGATTAGCAGAAATTTATCAGCAAGCATATCACAAATCTGTCGTGATACAGTGTATAAGCATTTCGTCTAATGTCGTTCTAAAAATATGTAAACTATATATCAAGATAAAATAAATTTATGATAACATTGATTTGTTTTTATACGGTATTGTTGGTTCAGAGTCTAGACATATGGAAATCGTATGGATGTTTGATATTTTCATTAAAGTCCAGTGGTAAATATGTAGTGAGTGGACCTTTACTGTCTGGCAATTAAATGTATGTTGAAGGAGCGTCTTTATGTCTGTGTTGGATTTATAAATTTACCGCCTTGTAGACGGAGACAATTAATTCAAACTCCTTTGTGGTGAGCAAAACCAACAAAACTACAAAACTAACAAAACAGCTACTTTTTACGGCTCTGAAGGTGACTTGTTGCAGTTGAAAATAAAATTTCTGTCCTAGTACAACGTAGACATAACGATTGGTAATTGTTTCTTTTCCATTCAAGCGAAATATATGCGTAAGAGCAAATCATGATAGGTTTAGAGTAAGAAAATGTGGTCAGGTAGGGTGACGAGTCCTCCAGAGGACTGTTATTTGCGAACTAGAACGTCAAAAAATCTGGCTCATTATGTCAGTTTTATAAGGTTCATATTCATTTCACTTCAAAATGCTCTCGTCCTGATATGAATACACTGACTTTCAATCCATCAATCAATTATTTTCGATGTCAGTTGCCCTTCCTCTCGGTCGACATTGCTGAACACACATTTGTTGTATATATATTTGCGACTGCACGTAAAGCACGATTATGCAATTATACATTATGTACAGCCCAACCAATCTCCATTAGCATAGAGTCCTTTATTTGCATGACAAACTTGCAAATGGTATGACATTGATGTCCTCAAATATATGATGGATGAGCTATTTTCGCCTGGATGATGAGCATCACAAATAACAGTCATGTTTGCGTAATTATATATCCCGTCCATCCCGTCCATCCTAACGATCCCCCACAGCATGGTTGTTGTACTTATCCAGAATATTATTATTAAATCATTTTCACTAGACTTGATTCTGAAAATGGATGAACTGTATGCCACTGGATAAAAAACAGAAGAAAGCAGAAGTCAGTCATGTTTTCGCACTAACATATCCTGCCCAACTCTTTCCGCATATATATATCATTACACGATGGAAATAAGTTCAAGTAACTTTTTCTTAATACTCTATTATACTTCAGGTTTACAATTAATGTACAGTACAAAATCTTTTTATACACGCAAACTGGGCATGCCTACTATTGCACTGATGATCGGAAACAGCTTTCGTTGATTTATATCAATTTGTTTCAGATTTTTACAAAGTATTCCTTAGTTTAGTTTCCAAGCAGCACAATCACTCGAACGAAAAAGGAGATAAATTGTCCTTGTTATCATGTCCCAACTATCATAACTTTGGGTTATTATTACACTTTTTTGTTGTTGATTTGATGACATGATAACAAGAAACGAGGGTTCTTATTACCAAAGTATCACTTTTTTTGTTTTTGTATTTTTATTCTACTTCTCAATTTTACGCTATCTTTTTCAAAAATCAAACTCTTTTCCTATATATCCCTCATCTTACGGTGTTATACACGATAATGGTTATATTGAAATATTGGGTTGGTATGAGTAAGAAAATATCAAATGAAATAGAAAAAGCTGACATATTCTGTAAGACAGCTAATAATAAAACTTGGGATTATGACGACTACCTTAATTAGAGATGGATGTTCGATGTTCAAACCCGTAAATACCTTTTGAACATTCACAACTAGATGAACACAACAAAAAAATGGTAATCGGATGAACTCAAAACGAAGCAAGACCTGTGGCGTCGAAAAGCTAAGTGTCTCGTTATGTTCATACACTTTTATGATTTCGTAAGATCTAAAAATGCAACAACATGCTTTTGTGATCAGCAATACAGCCACAACGACCAATCAATTAATTCGTGAGAATGATCGTTGAACTTTCGGTTGAACTTTTGTTGTTCTGATTTCAGATGTTCTCCCTCATAACCGGGCATTTTGTGTGTCAGAAGCATAAAACATCAAACACAAATAATGTGCTTTCAACTATCGACGTTTTAAATTTCCTGTAAAATTGATTGTGTCACTCAAATATTAAGCCCCCTGATAAAAGATATCTTCCATACTTACATTACTTCCTCATTCTTTTATAGTTAACCAATATCCATTTAAATATACTTATAGGAATTTCCAAAACTTAAGTTGTATGTTTACAATACCGACGAAACGAACAAAACAGGAAATATATTTCTGAAGTCATCGGGTGAAAAAATCAATAAAGACAACAGTATTTCCAATAGAGGATCCACGGCGTGTAAAATTCAGGTTGATGATCAGACATGTTTGATAATTACAAACACAAAACATAAATATTGTATTTGACAAACATGTGCAGTCTTAATGGGAATAAACGGCCACTTTAAGATGTTTAATATACATTTGTATTTCTAAGGAAACTGGTGCTGCCTATTTTCAATGTATTTATCTCTTGTAGTTTAAGGGAACACATAATTTACAAATAGTCTATGTGAACTAATATGACTTTGAAAGCAAATCAATATTTGTCAACAATCCGGAGATGAATCGATTAATGTTTGTCATCAAACTATGAGGAAAGAATTCAGATGTGATCCCCTTTTAATGTATGGCCAAGACCCAGACTGTCATCAAGCAAGACCTCTATATTAACAAACAAAAAATGAAGGGAAAAACGTTGTGAATGAAAAATGACACTTGATAAAAGTTTGTGCTTGCGTTCGGCAATTATGGAAAGTGCGAATTTCGGCCACACTTTTTATGGCACCTTTTTGAAGCTTTATCTTACCGACAAAAAATTTAAAAAAAAACAAAACAAAATAAGGAAATATTACCGGATGATAGAATAGATAAAGATCAGATTATTACCAATAGAGGGTCCACGACGGGTGAATATCAGGCTTATGATTAGGAATTTTCAAATAAAAAATACATCGTATTTTACTAACATGTACTTTGGAAATCAAAACAAACAGTAATGTTTGGATTTAAATTAAGTCGACACTAGTTTACCAATGTTCCAATCTCGTAAATGGATTAAGATGAGACAAATCAAGGTAACAAACAAAATCTGGGGGAATCACACATGTCACATGCACTCAAAAAGGAGGGATACGTAGTCCGTCCACAAGGTAAATGTCGTCTGCTGCTTCTTAGGAATAACAGTTAATAAAAATGACAAATCGTAAATTTGACTGAATCGGTAAGAATATAGATCAAAGGACGATATTGGGTAGTATAATATCAAAAGTGCACTAGGATACTTAACATTCAGGCACGCACTGAAATGTGGTTTCTTACATGATAGAACATCATCAGAATATATAAAATGAAATAAAAGAACTTCACTTGTCTTGGAGAAAGTTCTTAATGAATTCTGCTTCGTATGTTAACAAACTAAATCAGTCAGAAGTGATGCACAATATCCGTTCTCCCTTATAATCGTGCTGGACCAGATTTTGTGTCCGGAGCAAAAGCATAAAATATAAACGCATGTAATGTTTTATCAAATATCTACGTTCTAAAACCAACCGTTTCTATAAATAGACTGTGTGTCACTTAAATAATTAACGCTATTTATATATATGTTGAAATGGTTTTCCGTAAATGAAATTGTATGTTTACATGACCAAGCCAATTAACAAAAGCGGAAATATTATTTCTGAGTCATCGAGTGATGAAATAAATACAGATAATTTGATTACAAACAGAGGATACAAGGCGTGTAAAATTCGGATTAGACATGTAAGTTAATTACAAATAGTAGCATACTGTATTTAACAAACATGTACGTTCTTCTAAATTGGACCAAACGGCACTTTAAGATATTTTGTATTAGCTCAGAGAAAATTAGGGCGAGGATACTGGCGCTGTCGATCCCCCATGTATTTATTGAACTGTGTCATTTTCAGAAAGTCACATGCCAAAAACTTTTTATGCCCCCGCCGTAGTGGAGGGGGCATTAAGTTTTACCCTTGTCCGTCTGTACGTCCGTACGCCCGTACGTCCCAAAGTTGGTTTCCGTTCTCTAACTTTAGATTGCCTCAACCAAATGTTATGAAACTTATACACAATGCTGATTACTACAAAATACAGATCAAGTTTGAATTTTGGAGGTGTGACCTTAACCGTTCTAGAGTTATGTCCCTTTAAAAATAGAAATATTGCTGAATTTTTCGTTTTCGTTCTATAACTTAATTTGCCTCTACCAAATGATACGAAACTTATACACAATGCTTATTACCACAAAATACAGATCATGTTTGAATTTTTGGGGGTGTTACTTTTATTGTTCTAGAGTTATGCTCCTTTTCAAATGGCAAAATTGTAGAATTTTTTGTTTCCGTTCTCTAACTTAAGTTCGCCTCAACCAAATGCTATAAAATTTATACACAATCCTTATTACTACACAATACAGATTTAGTTTGAATTTTGGTGGTGTGACCTTAACCGTTCTAGAGTTATGTGCCTTTACAAATGGAAATACTGCTGAATTTTTTGTTTCCGTTCTCTGACTTAAGTTAGCCTCAACCAAATGTTATGAAACTTATACATAATGCTTATTACCACAAAATACAGATCAGGTTCGAATTTTGGTGGTGTCACTTTTATTGTTCTAGAGTTATGTCCCTTTACAAATGGAAAAATTGCTGAATTTTTCGTTTTCGTTCTCTAACTTAAGTTTGCCTCAACTAAAAGTTATTAAACTTGTACAAAATTCTTATTGCTACAAAATACAGATCCAGTTTTTTTTTTTTTTGGGGTGTCACTCTTATTGTTCTAGAGTTATGCCTCTTTACAAATGGAAAATTGCTGAATTTTTGTTTCCGTTCTCTTACTTAAGTTTGCCTCAACCAAATGTTATGAAACTTATACACAATTGTTATTACCACAAAACTCAGATCAAGTACAAATTTTGGTAGCGTCACTATTACCGTTTTTCAGTTATGTCCCTTTATAACCTTATATGATAGACAAGCGGGGGCATCAATTGTGTCCAATAGACACATTCCTCATTTATTTTTTTTTTAATGAATATAACTAATATTAAGAATTAACAATTATATGTCAGGAAAATTACTTTTAAATATTTTTTGTTCTTATTTCCTAATGTATTTATGATATTTGAACATCGCTGAACTAATGTTGCCTTCATTTACAATCCGATAAAAATGCAGTTCTTTAATTTAAAAATAAGACGTCATTTTAGTATTTCATTTCTAATGTAAAACAACAAAAATACTGAACTTCAAGGAAAATTCAAAACGGAAAGTCCCCTAACAATTGGCAAAATCAAAAGCTCAAACACATCAAACGAATGGAAAACATCTGTCATATTCCTGACTTGGTTCAGTCGTTTCCTTATGTAGAAAATGGTGGATCAATTTGATACTATTTAACAAAATCAATACTTTTTTCTGATGGATAGCTCTGTTCAGATTATTTTCCAATTAAAATACATATAATTATATCTTTGTGGAGTGATAGAGAACATGTTATTTAAAATATTCTATGTTAATTTAATTTAAGTATAAAACACATTCAATAAAAAAGTAAAAAAAAAATAAATAAATACTGAACTCCAAGGTAAATTCAAAAGTGGAAAGTTCATAACAGCCCACATAATCAAACCTTAAAGGGGCACTAGCTACGAGATATAAAAAATTACTAAATATGATATTTTTGGTTCAATCATTAATGAAAGTGGAATAGTGAAATAATCATTCGCTTTTAGCAGCCAGTATTGTCTAATTTTGTCAAAATAAGCAAATAAATATTGATGATGAATTATTCACTTGCAAGTGAATAATTCGACCTCATTGAATCCGTATTCATGTGAACTTCAATTTAACCCCTTAGATAGAGTTGGATAAATCATGAATTGTGTGCATGTTTGATTATTTAAAGGAAAAGAATGTCAACATTGAAAGTAAACAATGGTAATTCATTTAATTGACTGATTCGATCCTAAAAAAATCATTCTTATACAGGTAAAAAATATAATTAACATATATTTTTAATCTGTAAATGAAATTAAATAGACCTAGAAGAATCCAATTGCACGAGTTGCGCTATCTATTTATATCTTTATTTATGTTTATATCCCTTATATTGGCATCGGTGGTTTTCGGGAGGTCAACTCGACAGTTAATTAGATGGCGTCTAGACTAAAATACACACAAAACGAAGCTACATATTTTCGACCCTATGTCCTGTAAATTGTTTATTTTAGATTTTTTATAATTTGGATAAATGTTTTACATTGTTATATAACAAATATGAGAATTTGAGTCAAATCGGTGAACATGAATTTGACAGCTAGTGCCCCTTTAAACATTATCAATCAGCGGAACGAATTGAAAACACCTGTTTTGACTTGGTACCGGCATTTTCCGAAGAAAATGGTGGGTTAAACACATTTAGAAATAAAAATAAATAACTCAATTAAAATGTCAAAACATGAAATACTAGAATTGAGATTGGAAATGGGGAATGTGTCAAAGAGACAACAATCCGACCATAGAGCAGACAACAGCTGAAGGCCACCAATGGGTCCTCAATGCAGCGAGAAACTCCCGCACCCGGAGGCGTCCTTCAGCTGGCATGTGCTTTGAGAATTTTATTCATATTATGATGCAAACAATTGATGTATGCTTAATTTGTATAAGAATCTTACAAACGTGTAATACAATATATTTAAAAAACTTTAAAAATAGATAATTTATATAAAATAAGTTTAAGAAGAAAATTCTTTTGTTAAGACTCATAAATTCTTTATTGCACGTCTTGCTATTTTAACAAATTACTTAATGTACAACATTTCATCAAGTTTCCTTGTTACATTTATACTGAATTTCCAAAGAGAATATTCAGTAAAACGTATTTTCATTTTATACATAGTCATTATAATACAGTTCTCATATTTTTCTATAATAACTTTATAATCATGATACCATATGAGATCATATATAATTAAGGAGTTTTTAATTTTAATTTACGGAAAATAATTGTTTGTTCTACCGTTATCGATTCTTTAAATCGGTTACGATCTATTTAATGAGAGAAAACGTGGTTTACTGTGTCAGATACTTTTTGTAACTTTATACCTTTGTATTTATTTGAATACAACTTTTTAAAAAATGTTGGATATTAATAGAAAATTGTAAGTTATATTTAATAACGTTTGGTTCTTATAACCTCTTGTCGTGGAACTTTATTTACAAATTTGACCCAAATTTAAGTACCCGTGACCTTTATATTTGTAAAAATTACAATAATTATCATACTCATATATATATTCCTAAAATTCCACAACAAAAAACAAATCAATATACATGTAGATGTAATATAACATTGTACAAAAAATGTGCTAACATCTATAAACATGTACATCGAAATATATTATCTAAATGATTGTCTATACTATCCCCCATTTTCTTGGCCAAACTAATGTTATTTTTCACTTATATACATACATACATACCAACATGCATGCATGCATTGTACATAAACACATATTATGACATATACATATACATATACAGATATATGTACATTACATTAGATAATACATACATATATACATACATACATACATACATACACTCATAAACTTGACATTGACAACAGATACACAAATATTAACATAACGATTTTTCCAAAAATTAATCTTATGTTATGTCAAGATCTGTAACACCTTTGTTAACATTCGGTGTATTTCCATATTTGCCATACAATATAATTCAACTGAATTTTTTTTTCAATTTTGTAAAATTTTCAATATAAGATTGAGAATGGAAATGGGGAATGTGTCAAGGAGACAACAACCCGACCATAGAACAGACAACAGCAGAAGGTCACCAACAGGTCTTCAATGCAGCGAAAAGTTCCCGCACCCGGAGGCGTCCTTCAGCTGGCCCCTAAACAAATATATATACTAGTTCAGTGATAATGAACGCCATACTAAACTCCAAATTGTACACAAGAAACTAAAATTAAAAATAATACAAGACTAACAAAGGCTAGAGGCTCCTGACTTGGGACAGGTGCAAAGATGCGGCGGGGTTAAACATGTTTATGAGATCTCAACCCTCCCCCTATACCTCTAGCCAATGTAGAAAAGTAAACGCATAACAATACGCACATTAAAATTCAGTTCAAGAGAAGTCCGAGTAGGATGTCAGAAGATGTAACCAAAGAAAATAAACAAAATGACAATAATACATAAATAACAACAGACTACTAGCAGTTTACTGACATGCCAGCTCCAGACTTCAATTAAACTGATTGAAAGATTATGTCTTCATCATATGAATATCAGGCACAATCCTTCCCGTTAGGGGTTTAGTATCATACCATCATAACATATATGAGAAGAACATAACCTGTGTCATGCCAACAACTGGTTTTTAAATAAAATGTGTCTATTTTTATTGCCTTATTATTGGATATATAATGTGTTTTATAAACTGACAAAAACAATTAACTTAAGTGATTAAGTCCAAAATAAACATCATCATGAATCTTGTATCCTATAACTAGAGAATGGAAGCTTATTACATGCATATTGTGACCAAAATCTGATTAAATAAGACGGATGACATTTTAATACTCATCGGAAGCAGACATTATGGTTGAACCGTAACCTATGAGAAAGATCCAAACATTTTTATCATTAAATTGTGTATTAAACAAGGATAAGAAACATTTCTGATAAAGATTTTTCCGATGATTTAAAATTGATT